ATGAACACAGAAATGTTAACGATATTCCAGGACATTCAGATAACATCCAAGACCAAAGCTAAGCACCATCATAGCTCATTAGCTAAAACTGACACTTCTAATGTATATGAAGGCAAACCATCTCTGTTTTTCTTTAGTTTGACAAAGCCTTGTGGTGCTAACAAATTGAGTTTGAGCAACCAAGTCAAACATAAAGCCCATCTCCATCACTTAAACAAAACTTTCTGCTGAGCATTCTTAAAAGATACTCTGCAAATCCCATCATAGGGCCTTAATCCAGTACAAGCTGTCAGTTCTGACAGTTTCTGTGGGAGAAGTGAGCTGCTTTACGATGTCGAACTAAAAAAGAACATTGTTGTGATACAGCCTGAACCATTACACACTCAGCTGACCAGAAACCACAGAGACATTCCCCTGAATCCCTCCCAACCTCTGAAAACACCACATCTAATGGAGTATGAGGCCATTTTACAGCATAACAAGTATCTCTAACAGTGTTAATGTGTTAATGTCTCCAAAGGAAGTCAATACCATAAGACTGAGGACCATCTCTGTCTTTAAATGCATATGTGTGTTGACTGTTTGGATTATTTTCCAAGAGGCGATTTGTTTTGGGTCAACTTTGTGAGCCTAAAAATGATGCTACACATCAGCTGGCTGAATGAAGTAAATACTACCATGAAGACATGCGGATGTTTTGTCTCCTTACAGAGTTAAAGCTTTAATCTACTTTTACTTAAGACAGTAATTGCCTTTGCAGGGCTGTTAAATAGACACTACAAGGTATAACTACACCATAGATTACAGTAATTTGCCACAGACACACTAATAATACCTACAGAGAAAATACTTCTATTTGTCATGAAGACGTTCATAAAACAAAATTAAAGAAAAAAAAAATATATATATATATATATATATATATATATATATATATATATATATATATATATATATAAACTTAAAATGAACTTGACCCATCTTTTCAAGCTATTTCCAGCAAAAGATTCAAATATTTTCTGCAGCATGGAATAAATCCAACTTACTACACTTGATGTTCTTCAGTGGCACGTATGAGACGACAGACATGAAGGAAAATCTTGCTGATGCAATCCTAAGAGAAGCTGACTATAATAACCTTTTTTTTAAGCACAGCTTGGATAAAATCGCATTATACGGTGCGGCACCTCGGGCGTTCATGTCAGCGTCTCGCATTATGATACAAAATGGGTCAAGCTGCACATTATAATTTGAGCCGTGGAACGATAACGACAAATCAGGCAGCATTGCCTCATTGAGTATATCAGATATATAAGCGTGTGTCAGTGGATGAGATAGGATACAGAGCAGAGCAATAATGCAACATAAAGTGTATGTATGAGATCATTTAAATAGAGACTGAGCAGGATCGTGCAAGAAAAGGGCGTTATACGTGATTTAAAGTTCAAAGACGGAGTAGTAGATAACGTTGTTACTGTGGCCAAGACGCCTGGTGTAGGAGGCTTTTAAAATGATTCAGACTGAGTCCTTGGAGGCCATCTTTGGACAAGCGCCAGAGGGTGCTGGTGGTGCAGCAGCAGCAGCAGCACCTGCACCCAGGCCCCCAGGGGCCACACGGTCCCTCTACAGTTGTCACTGTGTGCAAAGCGGCTGCAGTTGTGTACATCTGTGCACAACAGGAGATTACGAGGGAGTCCCCGCATTTGCGTCCAGGTCTGGTTGGCGAAAAATCTGCCGGCAAAAACTGATTTGATTGTTGCTGTGTTTGCAGCATTCAAAGGGGCTGAGCCGCCATGACTCTTCAGCCCAAAGGTAATAAATGCTAATTAATTGTGAGGTATGCCTCTAAGGCAAATAAAAATTATTGGTCACGAAGACTGAATTAAAACGCATCAATATCAATTTAACCAGCGTTGACTCCGAGTTATTAGGCCTACAGGAACCTTGTCTTTGACCGCCAAGTCTGATAATTGCAACGTGAAGCATGTGAGAGTGACTTTGTGTTACTTTAGCCAGCATGTTTAAATTAAAAAATGGCCGCTTTATAAATTAATAGAGAATTATGCGAGCCAAAAATATGTTACATGTAAATGAAGGATTGTGACCTTGGGAGCGAAAGTAAAAAAGGGTTTACACACCTGTGGAAAGATTTGTTTTTAATTTAGGTTTCCACAGCTTTTGAACAAAATCAGAACACTGAAAGTAAAAGTCATGTCAGTCATTCTGAACTCAAAACTACATTTGACACAATTTTTATTACTCAAGTTGATTGGACAGGGAATCACAACACCAGCCAAATAGCTGTAGCTGTGTTTATAACCCAAGGTAATTTGGTTTTATTAAATTAATATCAAATATCAAACAAGATTGTCAAACTAATGAGTTGATTAAATAATTAATCCATTTCACTAAACTTACTTTTTTAAAAGAAAATAAGCGTACTGATCGAACTCTACTGTATAAACCAAAGTGTAAACTAAATGTTTAAAGTTTTGTGTTAGGATAAAAAGAAACATGAAAACATCAACTCTGATCACTTCCTCTGTTCAGCAACAGGCTTCTGGCTGGGCAGCCTGCATGCACCAACAATGTATTATTCATTGACAGAAACACTGATATTCTTAGACCTGTGGCTTGTTGTTTGCACAAAGCACCTTTCAAGAGTATTTCTGTGAACTTTTAACATTTTTACATTTAAAACCACAAAACCTGATGCACTTTATTTGGATTTAATGCCATCCACCCTGAAAACAACATGTCCACCATCAGAAATAGTAGTGGTGGTGAGAAGACAGACTTGGCTAACTACTACACAATACTGAAAGAAAACCCAAAGCAAATGTTAAATCTGCATGCAGAACTCAGAGCTGCTCTTCATCCAACCTGACTGAACTTGAGCTATTTAGTAGTAGAAACAATTCTAATCCTTAAATGTACAAAACTGGTAAGACACCCGCAAGCAGCTGGGCAGCAGTTTTGTTATTTGTAATCATTCTCACAACTTTGTGTTGGTCTAACAGAAAAATCCCAAAAAAAAAAAAAAAAAAAACAAAACATTAAATACTGGAGATGTAACGTTAGAAAAGTTGAAGAGGCGTGAATAAACTTTCACAGGGCAGCAGCTATGGGTGCGCACCTGTCACTCTTTTTGCGCAGCGCGTTGTCAGGAGTTGTCGGGCCGTGACGACCTGCTGAACCCTGTAACAGAGCTCAAAGAGCCGCTGTAAAGAGCGGCCCCTATAGAGCTCACTCACCGGGGCAGAAACCAGCCTCCACACGGGACAAAGAGGAGGAGGAGGGTAGAAGGTGCGCTGGAGGCGACACCTGTCAAGCTGTTGCTAAACATGCCGGCTTTATGAAAAAGGACTGGAGACTTCGGGGGATAAACTGAGCTGGAATCGGAGATTAGTTGCTCCTTTATTGTCGCTGTTCATCACCCAGACCTCTGAGGAGAGCAGGAGGAGGAGGGGGGGGATATGAGGCATTAACGTCAAAGCTGTTTTTAAAAGACTGTTGAAGTTAGCGTCTGATCTGTAGGCTCACACTGGGTACCTCGTTAAAGGGCTATTCCGCAGCACACGACTCTGGACGTCCTTTGATCTGTTTTAACTCCAAATGAAAAATAGTCAAACTGGACTGGATTAGTCTATGAAACGTCATTTGTGAATACTTTATTCCATCTATGAAAAAAGTGTGATAGCAATGTTTTTCTTTGCTTCTTCACCATAATATACAGAGTCCATTTTGAAAAAAAAAAGAAAAAAAAATTTAAACCGGGATGAAATCATTGCCAAACATATTTACTTGAGGCCACCTATGATAGCGCCCACCTCAATACAACTACACGACGTAGGAAGTCCAAACATGGGGAGAACCATTCAACAATGATTACAGCTTTAACAAAAAAAAAAAAAAAATGTTTTATCCTTTGTACAGTTTGTGAAAACTTTTATATCTGTTTTTAAGCTACAAACCACCAAAGGCCTGATCCAGCTTACTAAGCAACCCAAAATTGTATGGGTGATCTTTATCTTTTTTTAAGCTTAAGATGGCGTCCATTTTAAAAAGCCAATCTAGACGACTAAAACCTGGTGACACAAAACTTGTTTTGTTTGTTTGTTGTTTTGTTCTTTTTAGGTTTGGACTTTTTCTGGGCAAAACCCTCTTACATGGGGCCCTTCATAAGAACAACTAATTGGCACTGATTTATCTGTCAGATATGAAATTATTATTCAAATTGCAAAGAAAAATCTGCAATATTTTAGGCATTTTTGGAGGTACATGATAAAAACTTCAACACTTGGAGTCCAAACGAAGCTACAAATATTTTAGACAAATTGGACAATGGTACAGTTTATGATTTAAGATGCATTTGTTTTGGGATAATAATTAAAAAACATATTTTATGCTCTATTGACCAGTTATAACATCTTACATTTGATTCATGATAAAAGCTACCCAACAAAAGGGCAAACCTGCAAAAATATTATACTTTTTTTTTAATCCTATAACACACAGTAATCTGGAAACCTCTATTGCTTTGTGAAAACTTATAAAATGGACAAACATAATGCTGGCCAGGCTTAATTCAAGCTAGAACACAAAAAGAGTGAATTTTTACAAACTGAATACAAAGTTTCACCCGAGTATGTTTCACAACACTTTAAGAATTCACAACCATCCAAATCAAACATATTAGATTTTAAACTGAACCGGGGCAAATTGTTGTCCGGAGTTATTCAATTTAGCGGAATAACCCTTTAGTCAAACGTCGAATCAGATACCAACTTCAGCGTCTTCCTTTTGAGTTGACGAATTTGACGCAGATGGCACCTGAGCGGTGCGCATTGAGCGCAAACAGCGGGAGAACCGGGATGTAAAAAATGGATGCAGGGGGGGGGAAGCTTTGCATCCACCGCCCACTGCTCTCTCTAAATCCCACGCACACACACACACACACACACACACACGTTTCCCCCACGCGTATTAACCCACAACAGAGCGCAGAGTAAAACCGCGGGGTGGGAGTTAGTGCTCGTCGCGGAGCTTCGGTGCGGGCAGATTCAACCTCCTTCGCCCCGCTGTAGAAGCTGTTGAACCTGCTGTAGTACCTGCTAACCGGAGAGGATAATATAGGAAGGGACGCCCCGATGGACGCGAGCAGGAGAGGCTCACAAGGTATGGATCTGGACCGTGTTGATGACTGTGCGTTTGTGGAGGGAAAAGAGTCGGTCCCATTACTGTCATGCTCGGTATGCTTCTGCATGCATGTGCGCTGGTTGGTACTGTGTGCAGTCGTATTGTAGAAGCGCTTTTACGCAGCAAAATGTAAGGGGGGAAAAGTTGTGGATTTAACCTGCAACGTTTAAAAGAGTTTCAAGCAAAGCGAGATTAAAGACGGAGATTATAAATTGTAAAGAAAAAAAAAGAAGAACTCCCTCTTACACGATCTTGCCCATCTCCATCCTTCACAGTAGCAGCGATGTGTGTGTTTTTAATCACAGTATAATTGCGTGCGGTCATTCTCCATCATGTTTGTGCCTTTGCATGAGAAAAAGAAGCCCTCCTTTAAATCTGTTACTTGTGCGCCAACTGATGTGCTTTGCAGCTTCACTTTTGAGTAGGACACAAGCGGGACTAAAACCACACACAGAAACAAACAAACAAAAATAAAACACACACACACACACACACACACACACACACACACACACACACACTCTCTTTGCACTAAACCCGTCGAAAATCTCCTGCTGGATGCAAAGATATATGCGCAAACGCACGCACGCAGACAGATGCACTGTAAATACATGTGAGGGATTATTGTAGTGGTGCATCACACCAAGCCTGCAGATTAGAATAATATTCTCAGGGCCAAAGATGTAGAGAACATGGGATTAGATACATAAAGAGATGGATGGATGATGGATGCATGCATGGATGGATGCAGCGAAGCCAAAAAGACGGGAAAGACAGAAGGAGACAGAGAGCAGCAGAGAACATGAGATTAAAGTGTAATGTCCTAGAGAGAGACAGAAGAGAAAAAGGGAATCCAGGCCAAGTCGTGTAGTTACAGGGAACTGCCATGGCAGAATGTGGCAGGAATAAAGACGAAGAGAAGGCAGCAGACACTCTTTCTTTATCGCCTCCCTTTTGATCTCCTCTTATTCATCCATCCGAAAGCAAGAGGGGAGAGCTGCTTATATAACTCTCACTTTGAAACCTATTAAACCAAGAGAGGGGTAGGAAGGGGGGGGGGAGAAAGAGGGGGAAAAAAAACACAATAACCCTTTTAGAAATTGTGAAATTGCGAGACAAAATTTTGAAATAAACCCCGGAAAGAGGAATAGACACTTTTGTCTCTAAAATCCTGCAGGCTGAACTGAGCCAGCGGCAAGTTTTTAAATGCACTTGGTGCTAAAGGATATGTAAATGCGAACTTGTTCTGCACAGCATGCGCCTGCTGTTAACGCTTTTGTAGGCCCTAATTGAACTCCAAGAATTACTCCTGACATATTAATCTGGTCTTTTAATCAGCCCTTCGTCTTGTACCGTTGACTTGTGCAGCTCTGCAATCAGGATGCAAACGCTGACTGCGGGCAATAAAATACAGCATTAAAATATGATCTGAGGGCTCTGTGTTACAAGCAGAGGCTCAACAGGCTGCAACCGTTTACAAGAAAAACTGCATTTTAGATCATCCCTGCTCACTTCGTGAAAAGCGCTTCTACAATACGATGCACACAGTACCAACCAGCGCACATGCATGGAGAAGCACACCGAGCATGACAGTCCCCATAACCCTGCATAACAGTAATTGGAGTGCATAGTCTCTACTGGCATGGCTAGACAAAAATGAGATTTATTGGGGGAAAAAAAATTACAACTCAAAAACATCCTTTACAGTTTTGTTTGGATAAACTTAGAAATGGTAAATATAGAACCAAAGCACCACTGATGCATTCATCATCCCAATTGTAAAGAACCACTTGGATCCAATATCTGTTAGGTATAATATTTGCGGCGCCACACATTCAAAGTCTAATTGCTAGAAATATATAATATATTTGGGCACCTGAATGGACTTCACTGTCATTTACGTCCCGTCTGTTGATTTTATTGATCAAAATCTTAAAGCTCAGTGAGAGTGGTGGTGGCATTGTGATGATGTAAAAGGAGGTGAAAATGAGGGCCAATCCCAGCAATTTTTCTATTAAACTACTAAAGCACTGCTACAAATTGTATACAAACCAAAAAATAAAAGCGTGGCAGATCAATCGGTTGAGATTTGGGTGTTAATAAAAGGCAGAGAAGCTGTGGGGGAGATAAACAGAGAACAGTCCATCTTACAGGTTTTATGTTCTGATCAGTTGTTGTGTTTTGATCACTTTGTCAATCAATACCTGCACTTTGTACCAATGCATCGCAGTGTAGTCCCAACCTCCTTGTGTTAAACATGATGATTCTTATGTATCAATTTATTGTTCTTATGTATCTTTGTTGATTATGGAGACAGAGTAGAATACAATTAATTATCATTAGTTCAATGTTATTTTAATAATGCTGTATGTTGTGACTGTACATGGTTTTTATTCCTGCTTTGAAAGTTGATGTCAGTGAAATATGATGGATTATTTGATTATGAAATCAAATTCATTATGAGGAGTTTCCTGCTGGTGGAAAACCATATTTAATTAGCCTAGGAATACATTACTGGAAATGTACACTGCTCAAAAAAATAAAGGGAACGCTCAAATGACACATCCTAGATCTGAATGAATGAAATATTCTCATTGAATACTTTGTTCTGTACAAAGTTGAATGTGCCGACAACAAAATCACACAAAAATCATCAATGGAAATCAAATTTATTAACCAATGGAGGCCTGGATTTGGAGCCACACACAAAATTAAAGTGAAATGTTCCCTTTATTTTTTTGAGCAGTATATTTAAATAACTGATCCCCAATCATTGCAGTACAACTAACAGGTGTCTGCAACTTTGAACCAGCCAAAGAGCCATTTTGGCTGGTTCATCTCTCTCTCTCTCTCTCTCTCTCTCTCTCTCTCTCTCTCTCTCTCTCTCTCTCTCTCTCTCTCTATACACTAGCATAAATAGTATAAAATATATGATATGATTTGTGGAAATGTTCAAATACCAAATATAAAACTTAGAAAAAAAGAATTGAATTTTCTTCTGTGTGATGTTAATGTATGCGAAAAGTGATGTGAAAAAGCAAGTAGTCTAATTCTGTTGTGGAAATTCAATGCAATTGTTCCATGGAAACATGAAAAAACTGCTAAAACTTGCACTTTTGTTGTACCCATATTTAAAGACTGTTGGTCCTTCATCATTTTCATCAAAGTTATTAAGAGTCCTTGTGAAATGTCCACAGAGCCACTCGTGGCTGCAGGTTGCAGACCCCTGAACTAACCATAATTTAGTTTCAGGTGGTTGGAGCTGCTGCTTTAAATTTGTAGCTGTCAAACAGACTATGAAATGTTGCCATTGCTGGTATAAATTGCTGCATGGTTGGTATAAAACGTCTTGCAGTAGATGAGCCTGACCAAAAGTGCAAAGGTACAAAATGATGGATAGAAATGGTCAAACCTCCAATGCAGAGGACTGTACATGAAGCCTGTTTCACAAAACAGTTTTTCTTTGTTAGCTGGACTGACGCAGCTTAATGGGGTTGACCTTACCTTGCCTCTGCTACCTCTCAGTTCAACAGATAGGTATCCATAGAGCTCAGGGTATGTAAGGCTTTCTGTATTTGGGTGTACAAGGCAGGATGTGGCGATCTTGAGTGATTGCCTTGTAAAAGGCCAAGGCAGATTAAAGAGGGGCCTCGTCTTTGAACGATCATAGCACAAAACTGGAGAGCTGTTGATGCAGCGCAGTATTCATGGTCCTCAGTTTACTTTAGCAGAACGCCTTAATGATGATGGGAGCATGTAGCCATTGAGACATGGTCAAGAGGATTTGCTAAAGTTTAAGCCAATGGTCAGGATTGGGCTGAAAGGGGATTGAAGTGAGTTTGAAAGCTGCATTGGTGAATTTATTTCAGAAACAGTTGATCTACTGGGATTTTCATACAAAACCATTTCTGGAGGTTATTAGGTAGTGATTCAAAAAGAAAAAAAATATCCAGCGAGCAGCAGCTGTGAGGAGGAAAACGCCTCCATGACAGGGTCAGAATAGAAGTAAACAAGAAGGCATCGATCTATCCTGCCTTGTATCAATAGGTTTGTTGCTATAGCGCCCTTCTGATGGTTACCTCCAGCAGCCCTAACAATCTCACACTGGTTACTTAAAGTGTAACAAATTTTGGAAAATTTTCACAAAGTGGGCTGAGCCAAGAGACGCTGAAAGGCGAGGGCAAGCGTGGGGATAAGCGGAGGGGGTAATCAGGGCTGTGGTCAGAGCGAGAGAAGCTCTGTTGCTTACTCATAAACTTTGTTGATACATTTAGCGATTTTCCAGACTCCAGCAGCTTCCACTCTCACCATCTGTCAATACAGCAGAGCAGCTTTGGCTTGTGGTGGAGATTCTTGTGAATGTGCAGCAAACCAATCTGCGGCAACTTTTAGATGCCATCATGTAAATATGATCCCAGAATCTCAGAGATAAGGCTCTAGGATCTTGATGAATTTGAAATTTTGAAGACAAAAAGAGGGTCCAACCCAGCATCAGAAAGTTGTACCCAATATATTTCTGTGCAAGTTTCAAGAAACGTTGAAGAACTCCTATTATATGAATCCATGTTAATAGGTTCCTCGGTGAGTGGGTTTCATTTTAAGGATGGTCCGTATTGTTGTGAACATGATTCAGTCTGCCTCTTGTATTCTTCTCTACACAAAAAGGAAAAGGTTTCTCTCTGCATGCTAATATGCAAGCGTTTCCACTAAAGCTGCACGCATGCTTTGCGACGCCGGGCCTTTATTTTATTTTTCCGTGAGCTTGTTGGAGCTTTGTCAAAGCAGAGCAAACCAAAACGGGGATCTATAAGGCTCTAAACTGTGGGAACCTCCTCCATACTTTGTGTACATGGGATGTCATTTTAAAACAATATTTTGTGTTTCCTGCAGCGTGATGTACAGGAAACTGTTCTTACTCACTCTATAAAATCAGTCAATCTATTCTGCATGCTTTAATGTAAATTCCCAGCTGCATGACT